GGTTCTCAACCCTCGTAATACTGAGACCCTGTAATATGGTTCCTTATGTTGTGATGAGTCCCAGCCATAAAATTATTTTTGTTAATACTTCATAACTGTAACATTATTACTGTTATGAAAAATAGATGCAAATATCTGATATGCGGGACATCTGATATCTGACCCTTGTGAAAGGTTATTTGATCCCCCAAAAGGGTCACGACTTACACAGGTTGAGAACCACTGTTCTAAGTAGTATCACTCACTCAGGCGGCAGTACACCTGTAAGGAATTCATGGGAAAAGACAGATATAAGAAGATACATCTGAAAAGTGTATGAACATTTGTTTATCCCCATATTTATGTACTTTTTTCAGGCAGGAAGCAGGGGGCACTAGCAGTTCTCAGCATATGAAACTACTTATTTAAACCAGGAAGCTGAGATGCACAATTGAGACAACTTAATGTTTTTTACTTTCCTTCAATTTTCTAAAGGAAGCCATGCCCCAAAAGCAAGGGGAAACAATCCTGTTTTCACTACCGCCTGTAAGTATAGAGCGCCCCATGGCTGCAAATGAGATTTTCCTAATTCCTTCATTCATTCTTGGCACAATTGCATAGATATTTTAGAGACATCTCAAAAAACATTGTATTTACATTTTTTCAGCATGGATCAAATTATGTTTTTTTTTTTAAATCAACAAAATAGTGGTTTCCTACTGTGTATTCTTCCAAGTGACCAACTTGCTAGAAAAGACTCAAGTAAAACATAGAAATATTTCCTTTAGTTCCCAGTCCCAAATTAGGAAAAGTACTCAAGTGTTAAGAAGGGTTTGCTTGACCAAGGGTCTAATGACACTGGCACAACATCTCAAAAGCAGCTGAAGGAGAGAAAGAAAAACAAGGAAAAAAAAAAAAGATAACATTAAGCTGCCAAATGTTCACCCATGAAAATAAACAACTACGAATAATTGAGTATTCTTGGTTTTGACAAAGGTCCAGCAGCAGATGCCACAGCGTGCTGTCTTCTCCCGTCAAGCTGAACCAGACGGATGAGGGAGGGCCTGTGGGAGTTGTTCCCTAGAGACAGACTTCTGCCAGCTTGGTGGCGGTCAATGTAGGCTGGCTTTATTTATCTATTTTTACTTGCCGAAACTCACTTTGGTAACTAGGTCTCAGCTATTTCCAGCCCCCAGTAGTTGATGGCCAGCCAACTTCTCCCTGTTATAACATAGAATGGCCACGGGAAAACAGTTCAGAGGGATGGCAGGCACAGTGGCTCCCAATACCACGTGTGTACGCTAGAGCATGACCATGAGGAGGCTCACAACTGACTCATAAATGAAAGAGAGGGGGAAACAACTGTCATGTTCCTCAAGAAAACACTCAAGTGCTCATCACGCTTTCTATTATGATTCAGCAGAAGACAACTCAGAGGGCTTAGCAATAAAAATACCCAAGCAATGGATGGACAGAAGGATCTCTGTTGTACTCTGCTAAGTGACCATCCCCTTTAGTCAAGCTGTCTAACTTTTTGCAACAAGTTGAACGAAGAAGTTTGCCAAATGGGTAAATAAAAACTCGAACAATGTTAAATGAAGGCATTCTCAGCTTTGTTATTCAAACTACAGGGCAGAAACTGACCAGCAGAACTCAAGTCTAGGAAGACTATTAGAAATTCCTAATTAGAGACCTTATGGGATTCCAGTATGATTTGAACTGAAATTCCAGTATTATATGAGGACTACGTTGGTTACTGATTGGCATGATGGTGGTGTATGTTGATGCTTTGGGACTATTGTTCCTAGGCAAGCCATCCCAATGATATCTGTACATTGAATCACCAATCCGTAACAATATGTACAGTTGCCTGGGCCTTCTTCCATAGCCTGATCCAGAAGATCTATTGGAGAAGATAGTGCTCTGCATTTGTAAGTTTTACTCGCAAGAGGGTCCGTTTTGAAGAACATATGAGTCATAAAAACCAAGGGAAGATTTTTCTTCCCATTGCTTCCTTGTAAAATCTATCAATCTCTAAGCAACATCATCCAGAGAGCCTCCTGATGTTTTCCAAGAGATTTGTAACCATGATCACATCAAGATGCTCCTGTCAATATGTCCCTCAGCTCAACATCCCAGTTGCCTTGGAGCTTTTGCCCAGTGCAATTTAAAATTTGTTAAATCCTTAATGGCTCATTGGCTCAATGCAGGAAGCCTAAGGAGCTCAGATGTTGAAATAGAAGTGTTTACTGAGTATTATGAAAATGACAGTAAATTGTAAAGTCCCTTCGGATGATGGATCTCATGCTCATAAACTCCATTTATCCATCAATGATTATTTAGCACATTAAGATGCCTCTATTACTTAAAAAACCATCTGAAAAAGAAGAAACATGGTAACAATTGTATTTAATTTGCCTATTCATTTATTTAGAATGAAGACGATTCTCATGTGCAATGTGCCATTTGCTAAGAAGTACTTACACGTAAAAGTCAGAACTCTTCTTTTTCAGTCTAATAAAAAAGGTAAATTATTTTTAAAGTGTTTTTCCTGGCAGCAAATAAAACATCCAAGGAAGATCCTGAAGGCACCTCCACATACACATTTGATGCCACTACACTAGTTAAATTTCAATTTACATTTTAATGCGCATTGGTCCCCAAGTCAAATGCAATATTTAATGACAAATCATGTCTTGGCTTGCATAAATAATTTTAAATAAATTAAAGAGCCTCTAATTTGCTACATAGGAAGAAATTAAAAATATGTTTCAAACACTCTTAGGGAACACATTAAGTAAGTTGTATAATATGGGCTATAATGATATTCTGGCAATTTTTGCCTGAAGAATTATTTTTATATACAAATGAAACTATCATATGAAAAGGACACACATTTTTTTCTAAATCTCCAGGGAGAATCCCAAGATTATTATCAGAAAAGGATCTGAGAAGTCTTCAAAGGTCAAATGATTAAAAAGAAAGTGAGAGAATGTGACATGCCTTTTCCATTATTAATATTCTCTATTCTCGGCTTCTGTCCTGCTTAGAAGAATGGCACAGTAGAGGCTAACTTAGAACACTCATTCAATTAAATTCCTCAAAGATCAGCACACATAATAATTCTGGAGAGGATCAGGTATGCCACAAGGCAGAAGTTGATGGTCGGAGACTGTTCTCGGGACCAGCTAGTTTAAATAATTAGTACTCATGAGTACCATGAAATAGGCACCAATTCACACATGGGGATACTGAGATCCAGGACAATGAACTATGCTGTCTGCCTGTACAAAACAAAGGATAAAGCAGAAGAGAAATTGACATGGAGCAGGGATGTCGGGTCTAGGCTCTTCTCTCCTGCTCGAATAAACCTGCAGAACGGCAGACTGCATGAGTCAGAAAGGCAGTGATGACACGTGCAACAACGAGGCCTTTGGTAGAATGAAGTGTAATGGGTACAGTCAAGGTGTTGGGAAGTTAGAACAGGTGGTTTTGAAGCATTTTTTGATGAAGTTGATAAACAAAAACATGGAGTTTAAAGAGGCACAAGGCAATCAGGAATTAACCGAGGAAGAATGGAGACAGACACCAGAGGTGGACAGATCAGAGTGACTATATTTGTAATAGTTCAAAGAATAGGTGGCATCTACTTAGGAGAAGGAAGGTAAGATGAGGGAGAAAAAGGGAGCTCAGAAGAAAGAAACTGAGTGAGCCATTGTTGCAATCTTCCGTGCTGTCTCTTGTACTCTCTTTGGCTTGAGCACTATAGATATATACCTTGCCTTGACTAGGGTTGAATGTTCTAGTTGGCCTGATTGAGGCCACACAGGGAACACAGACCTGCACTTATTCTGGGGCAAATGAATGCACACAGACTCCTGCACACTCCCGCTCTCAGTTGATCTGCTACTTAAAAGTCCTAAAATACTGGTTGGCTAATTTTAATTAACTAAACAACTATGGGAAAATATTTCCCAAGCCTCTCACACTGAAGATGGCTTATGAGGTGACCTCTTCCGGCTCGATGAGGACCCACATGGCATCCAGGAGCAGCCTCCCAAATCACCAGTATTGTGAAGGTGAAATGCATATTTTCAGGGGAAGATTTCAGTTCTGAGGAAACATAAATGTCTCTGCAAGTAGCAGTTCACTCTTACTCTTATTCCCCAAACCATCAACATCTGCTATGAAGAATTCCTTCAGTCCTTACATAAATCCCTCTTGTCCTATATTCTTTATGGCACTCTAAAGAGAGGATTTGAATAAAACAACAATAAGGATGTCTGCATCTGTGTCCTGCTCCTCCCAGCTTGCTGCTAGAGGTAGAGTAATGGGAATGGGTGGGATAAGGCCACTTAAAGGGGGACAGGCTTTTGTATTTGCAAATCATGCTTAGATTATAAAGACATCGATGCTGAAATATGATAGAGTAAGTAATCTTGGAATCCCCCCAGACAAGCGGTTTCCTTCTTTCTTGTTTCCTCATCATTTTTCAACTATGCTTTTTTTTTAAACATGGGTCAAACAAATGCAGCTTTAAAACCCATTTCCATGTTTTAAGATGTGCCAAGAAAAGATTTAACAGCAGGCTATAAAAATCCCTTAATGTCTTTAATGCCTTATTTTTGCAGACTGGCTGGAAAGTAGAATAAACAGTCATTGCTCAGCTCTCCCCGTGTACACCCCCTGAGCTTCTTCATGAATGGGAAGAAGCAGAGTTCATTTGTGTGGGCTTCTTATTCTCTGGAACACGTTCTCCTGGCATTGTTAAGACACTGGAGCTCTAAAAATTCAGGCAGAATCTCTTAGGCAAACTGATGTGCTGATTGTTGTCTGGATTAAATGATCAAGCATTTCAAATAATATTTTAAACACTAAATTGATTGGCGAAAGGAATGTTCATCTTGCTTCCTTCTCATCTCCATTCTGCAGAAGCCCAGGGCATCTCCAACAGCCTCGTCTACTGTATTTACCTCTTGTCCATATTCCTACGCTCCAAGGTCAAGCCCAAAGGTACTTACAGGCTATGCGTACAGAAGCTTTCCTACTCTTGGATGTTCCCAGGTGGCTCCATGCCACACATTGGCACCAATAGTCCTCTGGCCCGTGGAAGTCCTCCACCTGCTGCCTGGTGACATTGATGAACACTTCCCGGACCTTCAAGCCTATTGCGGAGACAGAGAACATTAGGTAAGGCCACTGTATTGCTCAATCACAAAGTTAAGGTTAGTCAAACCTTTTCTTTTTAATTAAACAATTCTGTTTTTAATCAAGGCAAGGTTTTAATTACTGCGACAGTAATATATTACTGCTAATTAAATTCCATGAACTGAGTAGGCTGTAAAGTGCATACACAAAGTATTATCAGCCAACGCGTGCCATGCAATAGAATAGCATTTCTCTCACATTAACCTGGTGCTCTCAGTCTTTGTACAAAATACACTATGAGAAATATATTACCAAACGCAATGTCTAGAACTTAATCATCTCCACATACCAAGCTCAGGGACACAGTCCCAGGTCGTTCTTAGAGGGGTTACAAGGCTTTGTAACCAAGGAAGGGTCGCTGTAATAGTGTGGCTTGAAGGCAAATGCAGTGTGGGTGAGAAATGGTATAAACAGGCCAAGATTCTGAGAAATGGCCCAAACAGTGCTATTAAAGGTTGAGGACAACGGAGCCAATGGGGCTCAAGGCAAATGGAAAGCACATATCAGAAACAGACAAGTTGATAGATGTTTAACAATCCTAGCAAGGAACCAAGGAAAATTCTCAGAGTAGTAGTATTAGTGGACTTGGGGAAGATGTTGAAACAACAAAAAAGATACACCTGTGAGCTGGGATAAAGCTGAAGACTTTTAATCTTTCAATGAGATTTTTATGGATTTTCATTTTCCTTTTAGTCAGTAGAAATACGCTTGGTACTTCTAACTTGGGAGTTAAAGTATCTTAAAGCTTCTGACCAAGGACTACTTTTGGGGAGGCTTAGCCAATTTTCATGGAGTGTCATGGATGAAAGGGGATATTCCTTCTAGCCAACTTAGTTAACATCAGTTAACTAATGATGAACATGGGGCTATCTTTTGAGGTCACATGCCCTTCTGTCCACATACACTTGGCTGACGCTGGGCTTCATTATAGGAGGACTTAATCTGCAAATCACCAAAGTATGGAAGATGCTCTTCTATCCCAGAGATGTAGACACCCCCCAAAAAGACTTAGAGAGACAGTCATCTGTCTACATTCATGGCTTTTAGATGGAGGAGCTGGTGGTTATCCCTGCTTTGGCCTTACAAACTAACACTGTGGCTTTTCACAATTAAATGCCTGTCCCTGTACTGAATTTCTTGTTCTTAATTATAGATACAAGACAAACACGCAAAAGAATTGAAGAAAAATTAAATGCCTAATTTGGCTTTAAATTAAAAAGGAATCCAGGCAGCAGATGAATTTGCCTTGTCTTACTGGATTCTGTTTTGTTATGATTGAGTGTTATTTCTTGAAGGTCTTCTGTTTTCTGAAGGGAAATAGAGATGGAGTAGATTTGGGGAAGAGGGGAGATGGAGAGAACTGGGAAGAGTAGAGGAAGGGAAACTGTGATCAGGGTGTACTGTATGGGAGAAGAATCTATTTTCAATAATAGAAAGAGAAAGTAGCAAAAAAAAAAAAGGAAACTCAAAAACAACCAACCAACCAACCATCCACCCTGAAATAATTAAAATGCTCCAAAGACTATGGATGGAAGAAGTAGACCACAGTCCTGCCGCTGCTCATGGCAAAGTTTAAGTAAGAATGGAGGTGAATTAGTCCCATGGGGAAAAACATCCTCCACACAATCAGTTGCATATTATTATTAATATGCAATGAGAGACAGTTATGGACCCATAAAGCGTTATGTATAGTTTCCGGTCAGCTCCCTAAGACTGGAGGAGGAACCATACAGCACTCATCCCCTTCTCTACTGACAATCCACATTTTCTTCTTGGGGAAGGCTCCTATGTACATTGAATTTTTCTTTTTAAAGACTGTGTCCTAAAAATCTGTGGATTTCTCCAAAGCAGAGAACCATTAACTAGAGGTGATGGTACTGTTGCATTTCCAGCATCCTTGCACATTGGTAAAGGGCTCAGGGTATAGTTCAAGTGACAGCGTTTGCCTACTATGTGACTATAAGTCCAAGTCTCATTCCAGAAGTGAAAAAAAGAAAACATGGTAGGGCCAGGGCATGGAAATGGAAACATTGCTTAGCAAAGGGGAAAAGAGAGAACCGTAATGAAAAATAAAGCATATTGAAAAACAAAACAAACAAACAAACAAAAACCCCAACTGCTTCCTTAGAGATTGGCAAGGAGTGGGCACGCTGACTGTTCCAGGAAGTAGAGGAGTCGAGAGGAGTAAGGTTAAAGAAGGGGGGGGGGCTTGCTTACATCTTGTTCTTCATGTCACACAAATGGATAACCTGTTTTGAACATTAAGTAGAGAAGAAAGGATCATACCAACGGCACAGATGAGAGATGGAGCAGTGTTAGTGTGCTATGGCTCTGCTTCCGGGACTCTTATTGATACAGAATACATCATACTTCAGGAAACAGGCCCCTCACTGCTGGTGGGAATGTAAATTTGTGCAGCTAATATGGAAATTGGTATGCAGGTTTTGAAAAACACGGAACTGATATATGAACCAGCTAATACCATTCCTGGGTATATACCTGAAGGAATTAAACTCAGCATGCAACGGAAACAGCTATACCTCGTGTTCACTGTGGCACTAATCATAATAGCTGTCATGAAATTAGCTCAGGGAGCCGTCAACAGATGAATAGATAAATAACATGTGCTATATATTCACAATAGGTTATTACCTAGCCATTAAGAACAAAATTATGTTATTTATTTATAAGAGAATGGATGGAACCAGAGATCATCATATTAAGCAAACTGCCAAACACAACAAAGACAAATAGCAAAGTAGGAGCGGGACTATATCAGGTGAGTGGAATAAATGGAAGAAGGGTGATGGGGGGTGGAGGTGAGTGGATAGGGTCAAATGACACTATGTGCCTACAAACAATGTCACGAAGCCCCATTATTTTGTACAAAAATACGTTTAACATTTTAAAGCAACATATAATAAGCTTGAAATGTAAAGACGTGGTCAAGCCTTTCTTCCATTCTCCCGTTCTCCATCTTGTGAGTCTCTCTAATCCACCTCAGAATGGCTCAGAAGGGTCATATCTGCAAGTCTGAGAACATGGAGAGCAGACATCCAGACCACCTGTTTGCTATCCCCCCCCCCCACCAAGGATACCCCAAATCTCTTTTAATCAAGTGTGGGTAGACAGGCAAACATGGAAATGTCTGTCATGAAGGAAGAAATGTACACAGCTAGCAAGAAACGGGCCCAGCATGCCACACTCAGCGACACAGAGAAGCAAGCACCAGGGCAAACAGAAGGCAGAAGGGTACGGGAAACTGGACAAGAGCTTTCCTACTTTGGTTCCCATGAAAAGGAATTGAAAAGGCAGACTGGTGAAACCTAGGATTGACTAATTTGAGTAATGACAGTGGATCCTGGTGACACAAGGGTTACCTATCTCATCTCTAGGTGTCACACAGTCCTGGGGTTAGGACTGGGCACACAGGCCTGGAGCACAGGAGCTGTATCAAGGATGGGCATAAAGCCTGCATTGGTTTGCAAACACAGGCACAATCATCAGAGCAGTACCAATAGGATCAGCAAGGCTTGAACCCTGTGTGACCATTATACACAGAGACATTTGCACGGTTCTTTGGGGAGAACAAAGAAAAAAGCAGTCCTCACCACCACGGAGAGTCAACTTATGTTGACCTAGTATTTCTTTCATTCTCTGCCAACTTCCATCCAATACTGAGAGAAAAAGCCTTAAGTTGTAAATTCAACATCAGTACAGTTCAGCCACTGCTCCACTTTGGACACTCTTTCAGGGGCCACAAAGAAAGCAAACTCAACTCAACTGCTCCTGAACACAGTGTAGTCTCCCAATCAGCATCATCAAGGTGGCAGGTCACAAATCACACACACACACACACACACACACACACACACACATCCCACACCCCACATACATACAAATGTATATGATTTGTCTTGATGAGGCCTCCTTCTAACATGAGGTTTTTGGTTGATCAGACAATTCCTTCTAAGAGAATCTTTAAAAAAAATGATTTCTTTATATCTATGGTGTTTTCCCCACAATAACAAAATAATGGTCTTTTAATAGGGCCTCTTTCTCAAAAAGTAGAACATTCATTATCAAATCTTCAGTTTTTTTTATGATACACACATATGTTCACATTTACATACATATATCAATATACATGTATGCGAAGCTGCGTCCACACTTGAGAAACGCCTCAGCAAAGCATCTCTATTTAAGGGAACTGCTCCTACCATCTCTACTGAAGTTCACCCACCTGTGTTGCAAGCAGACACAGCCATCTACTTTATTTTATCCCCAGAGATGGCAGCTCACGAGATCGTAGGAAATGTTACAGTAGTACAAAAGTTCTACGCTAATAAAAGATGGCATCGCATCAAGAAGCCCATTGTACCTAATAACTTGCATAACTCTTAAGTATGGAAAAAGCCCAATACTTTAAAGTTATTGTGCAAATTATGCCCATCAGCCTTTGCTACGAAGGAGAGGCTCACAGAATGTAAACATATAACTATGGTACTGATATGCTAATAAGCTTTCCAAGCTCTGGGACAGCTTAGTTGCAGATAGACTAATGCTGGTAGCAAATGAATAATCACTCTGCATGTTCTAAACATAACAGAGAAGCACAGAACTTCATCATCTGTCAGTTTTATTTGTTTAAATGAGAAAAATGCTGACAGCAGTTACCGCTCTAATCCCCTTATTTATCAGGTAGGAAAACACTAGTTACTCTTAACAGGTTTAATCCTGCTGCGAGACGCAAAGTTAGAGAATTTCAAACTAATTGAAGGTAGATGTTTCAGAATTCAAGGCAGAGAAATGTACAAGTGAAGAGGGAGGGGGAAACGGTGAGGAGGAAAGAATCACAATGATTTATATTTGGCAAAATTTCAATAAATGGGCAGGCCACACAGCCATACTGTAAGACCCAAATTTGGTGAGGAGAACATAAAGCACCTCGGAGTAGTATTTAACATTCAGAGCCATGCCAACGACAGCCTGGTGCCTACTAACAGCTGTCCTCCTGCCTTTTATCTACAGCTCATTATCACACTTGCACAAAGCTCATCACTAGCATCCTGCCGTGGTTATTGTTGCAGCCAGGGCTTGGATGCACCTGGTGATGGGCGCTGGGGGAGGGATGCAAAACAGTTCCCATGGGCTCACCACCCTCGCAGCTTACCCTCTCTCACTTGACGCTTTCTGGGGTAGGATGCTCAGCTTATTATACAGACTAAGCACCTCCCAGAAGGAAGACAGAATCCTTCTCTGTCCTTTAATATGTTTCCAGTTTTCCAAACCACATGCATCTGGCGATTGCCTAGTAACCTTGATTTGAGTGGCCACTTTTCTCCTTATGGGGAACTCTGGACCTGTTTTCTTGGGTCTTTTTAGCCGCATTCCACATACTGTATGCTTTCTTTTCCAGATGGTGATATGTATATGGAATGACTAACCAGGTGAATGATTATTTTGCTTTCTGTAGAAAAAATTCCAAAGGATCATAGCAAAACAATTTCATGAGTAACAAGGCCTTGGCTCAGCTCTTAGAGAGAGGAGAGGAACCAGTTCTTCACTAAAGGCACTAGCCTCTGGCGTCCATGAGCGTTCTCTTCTGATCCTCAAGCCCTTAGGGAACTCAGTTCTTCAGACAGACAATTTTTGCTCTGCAGTGGCCTCATTTCCTTCCTCCATATTCTGAGGAGTCAGTAAATCATCCACTCTCCTGGAAGGATTGCCTTTATCACTTACATAAGGCAACACTCTCTCTCTTTTTTTTTTTTTTCTCGTATGAGTCCAAGTTTGGAGTCTCAAAAGGTTCATGAGCCATAGAATGTTTCCCCATATTTTGAATAATCACTTATTACCATTTTTAGTTATTACAATGGTGCTACACCCATTACCTTTGCCATTTTACTATTACATCCCTGTTTTCTATTATAACAAGGCTTTAAAAATAATTTTGTTTTAAGCAGCATATTATAAGAAATTAATCAAAGATGCTATAGAGTCAGTGACCAATACTGACTTGAAAAGCAGACATATGGAATGCCTCGTCCAAGTCTGTCCTTGTCCCAGGTGCTGAGGGTGTCACGGCAAGCAGCCTTTAAAAACTGCCTGCCATCAATGTGCTGCCAGGGGAAGGAAGAGCAGACTTTTAAGCCATCCCGTCTATAATTCAGTGTGGCATCTCCTATGACATCAGAACTGCAGAATATTACCAGATCACACATTGGGGAAGAAAAAGCTTCTTCAAGGTCTGAGTATCATTCTCCTTCAGTCTCAAAAGCTCCAAATATGCTCAATGTGAAGCTTAGTTTGTACGGCAGGGCTCTACTGCTCACTAAGAACACATGGTACCTCCGTGTATTTAAAATTACAAATCTTTGGGTGGGGGGAAATGTCGTGAAAATATAATTCCATATCTTGGGTGGACTTAGCTGTCTTCAGGAGAGTTTGCTATTTAAAAATAGTAAATTAAATATAGATGATTAAAAGGTAGAACCATATTTCATTTTACTGGTAGATGATTAATTAGGGCTAAATGTCTTTTGCCTCCTCCTCCTAGCAACAAGATTAAAATATATTCTGACACACACACACACACACACACACACCTCCATCCTTTTAATGTGTATGTGCAGTATTTTTTCTTTAGTCTCCCCAAGATAATAAGCACTTCACATTGTTCTGCTGAAGTACTCCAAATTCAGACTTAAGTACAGAAACGAAGAATATACCCAGGCTCTCGTTTCTTCTACAACTAGAGATTAGAATCAATCAGCTCAGAGGTGTCTGGCACAGGCAAGCAAATTAACTTGATCGTGTTGTTTGATAATAGCATAAATGAGAAACTTTCAGAGACAAAAATGGACTAGGTGTGGTCACTTAAAGGACTCCATCTCATACGTGACTTACTTCTATGCCATATTACATTCTGACAAATACGATCATGATTCCAATGTCCTAGCCAATGATTTTCTCTTCCTACATCCATGTAAATCCCCTCCTTGTAGCCTAAGGTCAGAACACATGTTATTTGATATGTGTTAGTCATGGCAATATGCAAAGAGTAAACTATTATCCAATGAAGTCAAATAATTAATAAATTAATCTTTTTGATTTGTCAAAGGGTGACAGGAGATTTCTGAATCATCAGAGACTTGCTACATTTTAAAAAATGTTTTAAAATACCACATTTCATCATTTTAATATAATGTTGCTGTATTCCAATTACTAGGCTAAAGACAAGTCATATAATATTATGTTCTTTAACTTTCAAAGAAGTGATAGGAAATGTATTTATTACTCTATTTTGCATGAAGAGAAACATGAAGAGTAGCCATGAGACCTATGAGACTCGCCATCTAATGGAGATCTTTGTTAGTGGAGAACTATATTCCAAACACATCTAGGTGTCACCTAAGAGCCACAACCACATTCTTGACCATAAAGATATCTTTACTGTTTGTGTTTCATTTTGTTGGAGATCTTTATAATTCAAACTTCATTTTTTGTTCAAAAAAATAAACTTAATGTTATGTAAACAGAAAAGACTGAAAAATTATCCAAAAATCATTGTTCAAGATTTTAGCTTCTAAAAGAAGGTAGAGATGAGATATTACAAGGTCAAGATGATCAAAGGCCACTGAGCAAGCTTAGGCCAGGTTAGGCTACACAGAGAGACCCTGTTCTAAGTAGTTTTTGGCCAGTGTCAGGAAGTAAGGGCCTGCTTCTAGTCCTGTCAAAGATAGATTGGAGGGAAATGGTGTCCAAACTTTGCTTTTGTAGGAAAGGTTAAACTAGACCCTGGAGACAAGTCCTTCAGAGTCTGCTACATGCTATGGATGGAATTAATAATGATTGTCTACAAACCTTTTAAGAATGTGTCAGTCTTCTCTGAGAGGCAATGATGAACAAGATGAAGTACAGAGTGGTGAGTAAGGGCGTTTCTATAAAAGTGAGCTTGAAACCCACAGATGTCAGCAAAACACTCCGGAGATTGATTAGTTCTCTGTTCTGTGGGCTAAAACGTATGTTTCCCTAAGGTGTCTTGGTGATTTGTGACTCATTGGAGACAACTGCACATTGATGGTTTTCCTGGAAGATATTATATTCAAATCCTTATCACCAGCGCGGTGAAGTTCTGGGATTCGAACTCAAAGATTTAATACACTTTTATTTCTACTCCTCGGCCTTTTCTCAATGCAATCCACTAACCTTTTATCCCAAGAGAAAGGCTCCAGTTGTGCAAAAAGGAATAACATAGAGAGGAATGCCTGAAATGATATTCTTTTAAAAAAAGTTTGCCAAGTTGAGACTTTTCTCCAGACACACTAGAATACAAAGCAATCCACACAGTCAAGTTCAATGCCACTAGGGCTAAAGAAGTAAGAAGCACAAAACATTATTAAAAAAAAGTAGACGGTGACAAAAACGTCCTTGTTTTTGCTGAGCAATAAAGAAATGATTCAACTTATTGATAATAGACATTTCTTGCAAACAACATCATGTTGAAGACAATATATGTTGCTTATTTGCTTTGGGGTTTGTGGTGTTGTGCGGCACATGTGCACCAGATATACTAAGACCCTTAATTCCTATATTACTTGAATCTACCTCCCATTTCACAGGGCGTGATTCCTGGGTTGGGATTACTCCTTTTTGAAGCTTCCAGATGTTAACAGAAGCAAAACACAAGGAAGAGGAGTCCCATATTTCCAGATGAAATGAGGCAGAACAAATGAGAGAGGATCCCTGGGCTCGTGCAGAGAACCAAGAGTGTACATTACGAAGAGGTATAGCCATGTCTGGGAAAACACAGTAACTCATGTCAAACAAATGGTATTTTTTTCAGGAAAGAACTCTAGCTCAGGGTTTTCTGAGCTAAATTGCGTGAAAACACACAATCCTTTTTCTTCTTATTTGAACAGTTGATGACGGGTCCAAATTACCAAAAAGACCAAAGGCAGTTTGCAGCTTTTAACAACCGAAAGGACTTATTGCTTCCAATTCAGAAACACAAAAGATTGGGTGACTCGCAGTACTATCAGGTTCTATGCATTCCAATCATATTGTTGAATAAATAAGGCCCATATGCCAAACAAAAGTGTATCAATTCTAGTAGTTAGGAAATGAGTGACATGTTCAAAGATGTGTTAAGAGTGACTTCCTACATGGATTTAACAGAACATGGAACATTCCTGTTGTGTCTCTGGTCAAATGGTGTCTCTTGACCTTGTCCTTTCAATACCGTTCAGTCTTGCTTAATTGTAAGGGATTATTTTTACAGATCTCATCAAAAGCCATTAAGTCTGTAAGGATAACCTAGTCGCAGCATCTCCTTCTTGTGGAGACCCCCGTGGAGATAGTGCATCTTCTGCTTTTCAATAACCTATGGCTATTTTGTTTCTAAGCTTAATTGTACTCACACATTGATTTGGGATAAATATCTACAAGTTTCTTGCTTCTCTTCACACCATCCTAGTATTAATACAGAGCTGAGGAAACATAATCTCAGGGTGTGGAAAAATGGCAATTTTTATTAACAACATGCGAAAAATATTTAAAGAGAGATAATTATTTCCTATTGATTCAACCAAAATGACTTGGACAAAAAAAGGCTGTGCTTATTAAATTTCTTTCAAAGAAGCAACTGTTAAGATTTAAATTCTTTTCCATTGGCATTTTAAGAAAACTAGTATGTATAATCTCTCCTAGTTTTGTCATTTATGAATTTTTGCTCTACAAGGTAACTTTGAAGTATCTGACTTTTGTGGGCTTAACAAAAGAATGAGAGGAGTGACTAGCCATGCTAGTAACATGGGAAGGGGTGAATAATAACAAAACAGAATGTTGTGAAACTACAAAAGGGCACACCATTAAACTGGCATGCAATATTTACCCAAAGCCTGCTAAACGGGAATAGGCTCTTGAGAAATATGCATCCAAGACAGGCAGGTTCTTCCGTCTCCTCTCACTGAATCCCAAAAGAATAGGAATGTGCTTCTGGTACTTCTCTTTTAGCCAGAATTTTGTATTTTTAATCCCTCTGTCCCAAGTTAATTAGGTTAATTGCATGAGGATAATTACCCTTCCTCCTTCAGTTTCTCATTCATTCGTGTGTGTGTGTGTGTGTGTGTGTATGCATGTTTTCATTTTTGTCCTTTGGCAGGTATTGATACAATATTAGCTGAAGATCATTTTGAGCATACTCCTGTTTTCCTTTTGAACTCTGTAGACTCCAGTCAATTCTCTGTCAGATAGGGCACTCCCTTCCTCTGGCTTCAGATGACAAGCTCCTAGACGTTTTCTTATTCACACAGCCTTTTGCCTTGGCAACTCCTCCATCTCTATACCTTCATTCTTCATTGATAATTGTCTAATGTACTCATGTCCCTCTGCACTATGTTGACACTCAGACCTCTGTCTCTTTACTGCAACACATTAGCTCTTCAAATTGTGCTCGTCCCAACAACCATCTCGGGATGGACAAGCCTCCCTGTCAATGTAATTTGGATTAATTATACCACCCTCCTAGCAAAAGGTTAATTGATATTAATCTGTCACCATTTATTTATCCAATCAGTCCTCAAGTCCTATGTTATTAAAGAGTCCTACACTCATAGCTATTACTGTGTTTGTTATACTGGGCATCCAGTTCCTACCCGAGCATCTGAATTGCCTTGCCTAACCCATGTTATCCATATATCCAAAATTCCTCACTTTTGCTTCTCCTGGCCACTGCCAACCTTTCTGCAGGATTCGTCCTGGAAAGCCTGTTCTAGCCACAGCGCTTCCGCAATGAAGCACAGTCACGGCCACTTCTCCATCATTGGTTGCGTTCTTGATGAATGCCATTCTCTTACACTAGCAGCATTACATTTTAAACTAAATTTCTTACTGTGCACACATGAAGCTTGTGTTCACTGGATAATGACAATGACCTTTACAACATAAGGAAACTTCACACCTCTACAGAGTCCATCATCTGGGATGCCTGTTTGGGTCACCAATGTCTCTTCCAACAAAAAAATAGGATAAAATAAGAAAAGGCAAAAGTCCTTATACAGAGCCTGAACAAGGCCATCCAATAGATGGAAAAGAGTCTCAAGACCAGGCAAAAGAAATCTCTAACAGTGTGCTGGAGTAATGACTCAGTGGTTGTGATTATTTATTACTCTTGCAGAGGACCCTGGTTTGGGTCTCATCACAACATTCAAAACAATCCTGAACTCCAGTTTCAGAGGATCTGATGCCTTTTTCTGACCTACTAGGGGAATAGGCATGCATATGACATGCCTACATACTTATAAGCAAAACATTCAAATAAAATAAAAGTAAATCTAAACTTTTAAAAATATTTGAATGTTTTCATCAAAAATATTACATTGAGACCTAGCACAAGCACTTCAAGTATGTTTAAGATATCTTTGAGCCTAAAATTTCCTAACTGTTAGAAGTTGGTAATCTTTTGTACCCCAATAAATGATTGTAAATACAGAAATAATCCAGTCTAGATAAGGCCTCCATAGCTTGAGTACTCTGCAAACCTTAGCTGAGTGTGTTCATATTCTCATCATTTATCAGCAAAATTTAGCCATACTAATAAAGACGATTCTAAACCCTGTTCCTATTGAAATCCCACTTGAACGAGACACTCTAGTTCTGGATATATCACTTTTGAACAATCAAAACAACTTCAGAGGAAAAAAATCAGAAACCACCAGCTGTGGAGAATAAAGACATTAAAGTAACATTCAGGAGGAAAGATAAAAGTGATTGAAATTATGCTGCTTAAAATGGCTTTGATGAAAGATTTAATATTTGTCCCAAAATTATTTAGAATTTGCAAAATGGAAACAGCAACTGTCTGCTTTTATTTCTAATGGGAATATTAACTTCATAGAATGTTTGAAGTTATTACAGAGCCTGAAAAATGGCTCTGAACTATACTGGAATAAACAACAAAGAGGGCTGTCAGGTCACCGAAAGATGAGATCATTTGTCTTATGGGTCTAAAATGATGCAACGTTAGCTTCACATAAGGGGATGGCTTGTGGCTTGAGCACCACCTCCTCCTCCCCCTCCCCCGACTTAAGTCACAGGCAAGGGTCTGAGGGGGTCTCTCAGGGGCCTTCCTTTTGTCTGTTGTGCCTCTTACCTGAGCTCTCATCCAGACTTTCCTCTGACACGTGCTCATTCTGATGGACCCACTCGCCATTGCACTTGAAGAATATCTGCATGGCTGGCCTTGCTTTGCATCGGAGCGCAATAGGGTAGCTCTTGATGATGTAGGCATCCTCAGGCTCCTCTATGAAATGCGGCAGTGTTCCTGGGGCAGATGGGATGGAATCGGGAAGAACTTCACTGTTGTCGGCTCCTGGAAAAATGAAGAGGACATCAGTACACAGCCTGTAGGAAGGGCTCAAGTCAGATCGCAGTGATGACTCCATACCAGTTTAAAAAAAAAAAAAAAACTGAGCTGAAACACTGTCAATATAGCATGATTGTACGATCTGCTCAAGGGGTCATCCAATAAAAGCTGGCCTCACATAAATGGAACCTCCAGGGGGATGCACCTACATATTGCTGAACAAATGGAAACGATGAATGTGAGAACCCCCAGATTCAATTAGAATCTGAGTGTCTGAGGAAAGAACTGAGAAGAGCAACTGTGGGGCCAAAACTCTAACTTATTCTGCTAAATGGCTACTTCATAGTCAATGAGGATGGCAAATGCATTAAACCTTGGGAAGAAATGCTGAGTGAATACGTGGTTTCCCAGCATATGTGAATGAGAGTGGAGCTTCCTAATTTCTCAAAGTTCCAATTCCCTGCTTGGTTTACTTATGAAACTGCCGATTTGTATACTACTTTTTGGTAACTTACCAACTTAGCACGTTTAGAAAAGGGGGAACTCAATTCTACTCACTCTCTGGCCCCCCGTAATACTCTGTCCAAGGAGTATGTATTATACTAACAAGGCTGACAGAAGAAACAAGTCATCAAACTTACTGTGATAATAATATCTGTGATAAACAGTGATAATGACATCTACTCGGAGATCAAATAGATAAGGCTCCTCACTAACTATAGAGAGTGCTCATGCAGGTCCTGAGAAAGGAAAAGCCACAGTATAGACCGCCTTTATGTCTCATTGCTACATTTAGCATGGACTGATGTCTCAGGCAAGCACAAGACTAAGGTCAGGTGTGGGCGCCATTCAAGAGAAGATGGCAGGAAGAGATGATCTCCTGGCTTTCAAAGGGCAGTCTAACAGAAGAACAAAGAGGCAACCGTTTCAACACCAAGGGCAAGTCTTCGCTGGAAGAGGCTGGAGGCCAGCATGGTCTTTAGAACTGTTTCTCTCATCAGATCCAATGCCTAGGAGAGCATTGAGTGATGGATGAAGCCCTTACAGTCTAGCCTGTCTTTCCCCATGTCATCAGTTTTCAACACTGCTACATATCATTATTCACACTGAAGTCAAAACCAAAATCAGGAAGCATTGTTAGAGGTAAACATAACTAGTATTCTGCTTTAAGAACATATATAACTTATCAAATATGCACACACATTTAAAAATGTAAAGAAAGGCCTGTACTTGAAGAATTCTTTTATGTAAGAATCCAAACAAAAGGCTGTGAGTTATGAAAATTACTCCTTGCCATGGTAACATATAAACAAAGTGTGTCACTGAGATAAGTCAAAGTTAATAATAGCTCGATTCTCCTAAACATGACTTTTTCTGCTAAATATGTCATCTTAAAGGGGGCAGCCTTAAACAAAGAGTTTAGGGTACTAAAACTTTGCAATGCAATTAAAAAAAGAGGGACTAATTTCTATGTCAGTAATTAGAATTAATAAAAATAATAAAACAAGTATTCAAAAAGGGAACAAGCATTTTATTTCATTAAATTAAAATAAAGTCATTGATTTTATATTTATATCTACAAATTACACATACACACATATATCATATCATATCATATCACAGGTGGAGAGAGCCTTCCTAGAATAGAATATCAGAGGGTGTGTGTATGTGTGTCTGTGTGTTATATTAAATTATATTTACGATAGTCTTCATAAAATAGATCATATATTAATTTATTTCATTACTGACTGATCATGCCAATTTCCATTCTCAATAAGTACCAAGTCCCTGCAGGCTTTTGTAAATCCATACATTAGAGGAAATAATAAAGGTATTAAAAGGTTTTATATGGACATCAAATGCTCCCACTCGCACAAGGGGCTTGAGCTCTGTTCGAAATAATTCATTGCTCATGAAAGGGTAATTGATAAGAACACACAGCATTCCCCCACCTCCGGTGGCAGCATGAAGGAACAGACACAGAGATACATTTGTACCAGCGCATTTTTGCCTGATAACAATGTATGAATATTTGAAGGGACTGCAAGGGGTGTTGCTAGAAATGTTACAAACTCTAAACAAATACTAAGAACACATTTGTAAAATGTCAAACATTAAAGAGGCAGGGGATGATACAATAAATCACACTTTAACCATCCAACTCACAAGACACAGGGCGGTCTAAAAACTATTAGGCTTCCCTTCTTCCATTTTAATAGAGGCCCTCTAGATAAAGAAACCAGTTGAGCCTGCATCAGAGGTAAGGAGCAGGGGAGTACATGAAGGAGCCTGAGGGTAAATGTTCTGGCTCTGCACAGATCTCCTTTAAGAGTCAGTAGATCTAATGTTTAGAGGAGACGGAAAAGGGAGCTAGAATGTAATATTTAATCTCAGCTATTATTGCAGCGCTGTGCAATTCATGCCCTCCATTGGAAAAGAAAAAAGCGAGGATCCTTGAATACACAGAACAACTGTCAAAGCAGCAGCTATAGATCTATCCTTGAGAGATCACATGTATAGATTTGTGGATTTTTACCAATTACTAGCATTATTCAACAAATAACAGGAGCAAATGAGAGTTGAGTATAACCTATAACCTCTTCCCCTTGCTTTGTATAGCGAGAGAGCTGCTGTTTGACCTTGCCTGCCCTTTGAATGACTCCCAGGCATCTCCATTTCTCCTTTCCTCACTTGACCAGGTCCAGTTCCCAAGACAAGAAGAATCTGCCTTTTAATATCTTCCAGCAGATGGCGTGGTGTTCTAGCCATCTCTGCCTTCTTAGACCCAAGGGACCCTCCTGATCAGCATTACTAGAAGTCTGGGAAAAAATTCCTTAGGAATTTACCTGGGGGTTCTTTAAGGAAAAGGAAAGGGGCTGGGAAGATGGTTCAACTGAAAAAATGCTTGCTATGCAACCGCCTAGAATGCACCGAAAAGTGTAGCACATTTACAATGTGTTTGGGAGGCAGCGCCTGGCAGATCTCTGGCTAGCTGCCCTTAAATCAGTGATCTCCAGAGTCCACGGAGAAAGCCTGTCTCAAGAAACAAACTGGACAGCTATTTAGAGTAATACATGATTGACTAGTGGCCTCTACACGCAGGCATAAATGCAATGCACTCGTACTTACATATATGCAAGCTTTCATACTCATGCACACAACCATACACATATGTATACATCAAACTAGGGGAGAAAATGATTAGGAACTGAAAGGAAGTGTAAATTATTTTAGGGTCTCAGAAGATTATTGATTGTGTTCTGAGGGAGAGTGGAATAGGTCATTTACTTTAGTAAGTGATTCTATAGAAACTGAAACAATGCATTTCTCCTTCAGAGCAAATCTACTTGAGATCTTGGTATATCTTCTACCATTTTCTTTTGTATATGTATAAGAGAAAAATGTTAAGATCCGATATGTCAAATACCGGTAACGAACGCCAACCAATTGTTAACCTCAGCATCCGAGGTATGGTAAATGCTGGAAGTCATGCCGCTTTGCTGACACTTGGGAACGCTTGCATGGTAAGGACTGGTCTAGCCAAAGAGTCACAAACAGAAACTTCTGAAAAACCCTTCATTTCTCTGACAAAAGCCGTGGTTCCTACCAGCCCTTCTCCCTTTGCTCCCTGTGGGGAAGGCCAGAAGGAAAATCAAAGAGGAACATAGATTTCTGAACAGAAGTGGCAAACAGCTCATTCAACACCAGCAGGCATCACCCCCAGAAACAGAAGACAGCATTTTGAAAGATATGGAGTCATATTTTGTTATCTGTATGATAAACTAAGAAACTTAGACACTATGAGCAGGAAGCAAAAATAAGGCCTGTTTACAGTGATCTTAGGTGATGGTCTCTTCATGACAGATCTCCAAAGTCGGATGGAGTTACTGTAGTGAGTCTTTCTCTGGCCTGCCAGCCAGTTTCTAAATGACAACACAGTAATTTATTATTAATTATGAAAGCTGAACCGATAGCTTAGGCTTGTTTTTAGCCTAATTCAAATTAACTCATTTTTATTAATCTACATTCTTTCACGTGGCTCAGTTAACTTTACTCTGTGCTGCCCATCCTGTTTCTTCTCCATCTGGCCAGCAACTCTGCCTTTTTTTTTTTTTTCCTAGAGCTCTCTCTGTCCAGAAGTCCTTGCTATACCTCTTGCCTAGCTATTGGCCGCTTAGGTTTTTATTAAACCAATCACAGTGTAATCAAATATCTCACAACAGGTACTCCAATTTGCATTTGCAAGAACGCTTGGCATGAATGTGCTGCCTGAGATCATCCAGTCAGAAAATGTTGGACTGAGAATTTGAACTCGGGAATCCAGCTCTAACCAACAATAATTCCATTGCAGTTCAATTCTCATATTGTCATTGGTGTTTGCCAGCCTCGGGGGGGCTTTATGCAATTTACAGAATCTGAAGAAGATGATATGAAAGCCGACATCATCTGTATGTCCCTCACCATCACCTTCAACGGTGACACTTATCCTGTCAGTTGGCCACAGAGTGAAAGTCAGGATGGCTGTTTTGGACACAGTTGAGAGAAGGTTTTAAGAAAAAAAAAATCAAGAGAAAAGCAAGTAATCACCCAAAGGTAATCAATTTATGAGCCGTCCTCACCACACCTAGAGATGATGCAGTCAGGAGTTGGGGTGCAGCTAAACGACAGAGCACTCACTCAATACAGGCAGGGCCTTGGGTTCCCTCCCCATCATCACACACATTTGCATACACAGACACGCCCACCCTATGAGAACAATATTAGGGAAAGATTTCCAATTTATCATTTGGAAACAGATATTCCTTTTTAAGCAGTAATATTTAATCATCAAGTTCCAATTAAAACATGAGGGGATTTTTTTTAAAAAAAATAGTTGGTAAACCTCAGAAAATGGTGGGGACAACAGCATTATCATCCTAGTAACGGTTTGACCATTTAATGTGCTGTATCATTACTAATGGAATTGGGGCCCTGAGATATAGTCACTTTGTAATGCTTGCCTAACA